CGTTATCGTCACCCCACGGGATTCGAATCCGAATCCCTGTCTAACGAATTGAACGTCACCTGAGACTAGTTCTATTCCTTCCCTCCACGTGGATTAGTCCAGTTCACGGTTACAAGATGAGCGAAATCAGCAGAGCTCCGGGTGCGCATCACCTCGTTAACGAAGTTGACAGTGCTTCGCGTATAGGCCGTTACAGAAGAGTTCTCAGGTTAATACTGTACCATCCCCGGGATTCACACTAGCAGAGCGAAGATTTCGTGTGAGCTCGTCAGCGTGCGTCCGAAACAAATTGAGGTGATTTTTGGAATGACATGATGCGACATCTGCACGCTGACACGTGATCCGGCCCCAAAATTACAGCAAATGCCGCGACTGGCAAATAGTTTACGCGTCCTAATCCTCATTTTACGCTCATTTTCAATGATTTAAATTTTAAGCCAGCTCATGCGCTTTAGGCAAAGAAAGGTTATGATCTTCGAGCACGTTCAGATTTTTCGCAGCTTTACGTAAAATTACGACCTGAAGTGGGATAGTTCGGATCAGATATCCTTCCCTTTTTTGACAGACCAAACCACTTTTTAAAATACTCCAATTCGAAGCAGCCCCATGTTCAGAGTAGAACTTAGCAGCCATTCGTTGTGTTTATAGGGCCCTATTTTTTGAGTCAATAACTCCTCAAATGAAAATTTCACTTGATCCTGGATTTGTTCATATTACTTCGAATTCTGCAGAGAGGCCGCTGAGCCCGAGGAAAGTCCAAGTGGAGCACGCTCCCAACTCTTGTAAGTAAAGCCTAATCTCCTAAGCTACTAAGGCTCTGATCAAAGATTTAGCCTTCAGTGCATAGCGTCAAATGAGAGTCCTATTTATGTAGACTAAGTTCACAAGTCCCTTGTCTTTGTGTCAAGAAGCACAGATTCATCACGTTTAATTCCACGCACGTGCTGAACGCGTTCGATATACAGTACAGTACTGTACTCGTATTCCGCTGATGCTCCTACGCGGGTAGAACTGACGTACCCACCAATTTACTTGCAGTATTTAGAAGATTTTGAAGTGGATAAGGCAATATCAGAGCAAAAAAATACAGAAGTTCAAAAAAAATAATCGGAAAAAGGAGTAAATGCTGGTACAGTACAGGGTTTACCAGCACCATTTGGAGTTGCCCTGTCAAGCTGAGAGGATCTTCATGCTGGGTGCCGGTTTCTGTCGATCATCTCCAACCATGACGAATCCTTAATGGATGTCGCACGATTAACCGGACTGGTTTGTGTCGACAGGAACGTGCGGAGTTCAGATTTCGGAAAACCCGGCTCCCGGATTTCCGTCAACCTCAAGGAAAAGAAAATTGGATCTACGATTTCAAGCTCTATCCGGTATCCGTTCCTTTCCAGTACATTATTATTCCTACACGGTTGTCGGCACATTAAATCAAACACATAGACGGGAAGTAGGACTAAACTTGTTTTGTACTCAATTTATTAGCTCCAGTTGCACTGTAGCATTCATCTTAAAATCTTTTAGGCGGTTCAAGCTGGGGGTTTGCCTATCGTAGATGAATCGCTTCCCGAACACGGACACAAAACTGATGAGCGGAATAACTATGAACTAGTGCATAAATAGGAAGAGTATACTTTTCGGCGCGTTGATCAAACTTGCTTCATGACTGTACGTGTTTCAACTGTGTAGCTGCCTGTCTGGTGCATGTCAGCATGCTTTGGAAAATGTTATCTTTTTTTCCAGTCGGTTTCTTGCTGCTCCGATGAGCATGCAAGCTAACACATATTCACGGCATCTTCATCTCACAATGCTTCCCACAAATATTTTTTTTACTATGACATTTGAAGCCCTCGCGGTCGTCCTTTCGTCGACGAGTCTCCAGGTTTTCTCTTTTTCAAGAATCCACAATGAAAACATATTTCAAGAATTGTTGAACCCTAAATTTTTACCGAAGTCTTCCCGCTTTAAAATGTATAAGGCTGGATTTGCATCAATCGAAATACTCCTGCTGTGGAAATTTTCGTACAGAAAATCAATTTCTTCGACTGAATCAGGAAGAAACGCATCTCGTAGATAAGATCAAATTTCGCTCGTTCCTGTTGAATGTTTTTCTCAGAAAACTGCCGCGCATTCTGATCCGTGCCCTTTTGTAAGTGTTGAAGACGTTACTTCCTGTTTAAAAAAGATAGAGTCGTTAAAGGAAAGACCTTGCAATTGCTCGATACATTTTTCCTGGGGCATCCGAGGACTTCCTCGTAGAGCGAGTACAGTAATTGAATAATATACGAGAAAACATTCGAAATACAGTACATGTGGTTCAAATTGACAGAACAACTGGAATCTTTTCGCGAGTGATGAGACGACGAGGTGCTGACTCATCAATGCATCGAGGAATAGGGCTTCGGTGCTAGCATCCCTGACAATAAGTTCGGAAGCGAACTTCGCGCGGCGCGTCAAAACTTTTTGCTCCCAGTCTTTTCGGACGACAACATTATAATAGGCGTCCTTATCATGCGAAAAATGATTCACGATATTCCAAAGGCTGCATTCTTGCGCGCTCTTTCCCATTTTGCATATTATCACAAGCCTTTATTTCACGATCTATGAGCAGCGGAGGAATGATGCTCTCGCATGCTGTCGAGCTTACTCGAATGAGTGAGCATCGAGGAAAACTGCCAGGACAGCTCCGTAAAGAAGCATAGTATGTTTTTCGCACAAATAGCGTTAGATTCTCAGAATAGCGAAAATATATCCTGGCAATATACCGCTTTTCCCTCCGTCCTTCTCGAGAATTTGGCGGTAAAACTTGAGAAAAATTTACGATTTCCTCATAAAATTTTATTAGGCATGTGTAATGGTAGAGTCCAGCAATATATACTGTACTGTATACCCAAAATGCTTTCCTCGGTTTTTGGATTTGAATGGACGTGTATGTCGAGAGCACTTCGGCGTACAGCTCAATGGGGTTCAAACGATTACAGTAGAACTTATCATAGAATTTTGCTCCGATTTACAAACATTCATGGCTACATTATTTATTTATATCACATCTAACTCACTTCAAAAAGTGAGATATATTCAATTTCGTCTCTTCTGCTTTTCTCTGCGTGATGAGAGCTAAAGTTGAGAGCCATTGTTGTATGTGATTAGTTCATCCATAAAAATCCCGAAAATTGAGCCCGTAAACGCAATTTTCAAGATTTTTGAGAACTTACGACATTCAATCAAATACCTCCGAGTGCGAAAGGCGTTTTTGTACGAAATGACATGAGTATTTCGTATAAAATTAGCACCGTAGAATGTAGTTTCCCGTCAAAATAAAGGCTACCACGGAAGCTTTGTATACATCGAGTCCTGACCTTTAATATTCCAATTCGAAAAAATTCTTCTGATTAACATTATTATGAACAAAATTAAGTTTGAACTTCATCAAATACATTCATACCTGTTTTTTTAAGTATTGTACACCGAATTTATTTCAGCGCGCAACAATCATTGTCCTGATTTCTATTCGAAGGGGTTGAGGATATTGAGATGGTAACTGAAACATGAATACTGTATAGGCTCGATGGGCGTCGCTGATTCTGAAGATATTTGTAATAATAAAAACGCGTTATAAATCCCGTGGGCAATATTAAGAAAAAAGAGACGTATGCTGAGGTCTTATATTCGAGTACAGTATCCACTTGGTACTTTCTTTTAGGCGCTCGGCTATTTTTTTTTTCAGTGCAAGACTTTCCACATGCCTTTGTTCAAAGCGAATACCGTTATAAAATCGAATAATTCCCCGGAGCGGATTACGTATTCGCGCGAATCCCCATGAATGGCCCCCGCAGGAAGGGATGGGAAAAAGCAGAAGAGAGCAGGAACCCTTATCCGCGACGCAACCTATCCGAGTGCATCCATATAGTCGATTCGGCGCTTGATCTTTCTGTAGGAGAAGAACAAATCATTCGCATGATTCGAAGCGAGACGATGGCCGGCATAAAAACGTATCCGGTGATGTGATGCTCCTTGAAAAGATGGCCCATTTCCGATTCGAAGGAGAATATCTGTATCAATGCTTTGAAAAGTTCTCCCCATTCTCTGGATTTTTCTCTCGAAACGAAAAGTACGTCACTCCAAGCAAACTTTTCGAGCGCTCTCATTATTGTACTCCCATTTTTCTTAGTGTCTGTTCCTTACTTTGGCTTTCACTGGAAAATCAAGTTAGCATTTCGGGCGTTGACTATCATTCCATTCGGCTTCGAGAAACGCTGCATGGGAACCCCGGTGTTTTTGAGCCGTTTGAAGTTCCGGGGAGAAAGCAGAAAGCTGCTTGGTGCGGACTTTGATAAAAGCCCGGAAATCAGCTTAGCAGCGCAGATTTCCCGCTTCGACGTGCGGATTGGACCCCCAATGGGCTGCTGAGCAAATAATCGTTATCAAATATATAGGCACTGGAGATTCAGTCCTGAAAGCAGGCAGGAATTCGGGAAATAGTTGAAGGCTCAGCCATTCGCATCGCTGTCGAATTCTGTATATTCCTTTTATTACTGCGAACTCGAGCTCTTGCCTTATTACGAGTGCATTACGCTCTGTGAGCACGCATACTGATTCTGCAGAACATGATAAAAGTGCAGGGGAAATTATTTCAGGCAAAAAAATAAAGAGATGCGTCTTATAATTGGTCTTACGAGCTAGTTTCTGCGTAGGCTGAACATACGTATTACCCGATTTCACGCTCTTCGTAGCGCGATAAAGACATAATGGAATGAACTGGGTCCGCATGAATCGAAGCGCTCGATGTCAAGATCCACTTGGAGACTTCTATAGCCAGCGCTCGCCTGTGGCTTAATTAGGCGACTTTGTAGAGCCTGCTTTATGCCTTGCACAGCGGGGAATGGAAGTAACGACTCCGTTGTCCACTAAGTAGCTGGAGACAAGTGCGTGTTCCGGGGAACTGAAAAGCGTTCCGGGACCACGATTCACCTGCGTTTTCTCATTTGTCCGCGGCCAGGATGAAGGCAGCAGAGGAGGAGGAAGATGATGAGTTTTCGGAAGTGGAGCCGGACGCGGTTCCGCCGGAAGTCCGGGCCTGGCTGACGTCCACGTTCACGCGGGGACCATCAGGTGCGCGCAAAGCCGGCGGTGACGACATTTCTGGGAAGCCCAAGTTCCGGTCTGTGGCCAACGCCATCCGCGCCGGCATCTTCGTCGAGCGGATTTGCCGACGACCGTCCGCGTCCGCATTCCTTAATTACCCGCCGTCTGTCACGCGTCAACTGAAGGTAAGTGGGTGTAATCCTCGTCGCTCAATCATCGATCTGACTCACCCGAACATCGCTTCATAAAATAAAATAAAATAAATTCTGAGTGATGCGACTTTTTAAAACCTTGAAATATCCTTAAGCCGCTTTGTTTAAAAACACATGCCTTGCGTTAAATGTGGACAGCTCAATGATCCATGGGAGTCTGAAATATTCTGATTTATGACGCTCACGTAAGCAGATCTGAGATCTATTAGTTCATAGCACCCTATTAACCTTTAGTGTATTGCTACTGCTTTCGAAAAAGCCAGCAATGGAACTCCTCGTAATGTCAGTACGAGCTTTTATACTTTAAAACAACTCGTTTCGAAGATGATGCTTTTATGGATCATACGTCATACGCAGAAGTCTGTGATGCACTTTCTGAATTCTCTTTCTTCTCAAATCACTCAGTAACTTTTTTATATTTTCCAAAATAATTAATGTTGATCTGAATTTCGCATAGATCTTCGGGTGAAACGCGTCAATCTCACAGTTACGAAGTGAACAGGATCAAAATTACGTGTGCCTTTCTTTGTTTCCTTCCATTTGATTGAACGTTGTTCACGGGTGATAAAAATCAGAATAATCGAAGTTTTCTACTATATTAGGTTATTTTTCCGTTTCTTCGCAGATGAAGCGAAAAAATCCTTCAATTACTTCGCGCCTGTTTAATGGAGTCACTTCAGCGAACCGTCGTTGACGAAGTTGAAGAAACAGTCAAAAATCATTTCTCTTAGCCTCAAGTTTTCTTCGATAATCTCATCAAGTTTACATCTCATCTGCGATAAGCTGCTGCTGCCTTTTCAATAATTTAAACGTATAAATCTAAAAGTTACGAATAATTTGTTTTTAAAGGCGAATATCCGGGATCGAATACGTGTTTTTCTTCAAGAGATGCTTTTTGCGGAATCCCTCTATTTTTCTAAAAATTTCCCAGTAAAAATCGTATTTTGCTTCGTTAGAAGAGAGATCAGCGCACTATGGATTTTCAGAGAACTTGTTGCCCATAAGCCGCTGATAAAAACACCGGAAATAATTGTGTTCATTCTTTTTTGGTGCTCTACTAATTTCGACTAAGAAGTACTGTATACTGTAAAATTGTAAATATAACTCCCCAATGACGATACAACTCAAAGTTTATATTGGCACGATTAATATTTTTCATGCACAGCTTGTACGCGGGAACAAAAGTAGAAAGATCCTATCCCATGTCAACACTCAACAAAGCGGACGAAGCTAATTTTCCAAGAAGCTACATATGGATAAAGCTTTATTTTGTTCAACCATTTTAATAAAAGTCTGTAGCCACTGTGCTGGTACCCTGCTGTGTGTCTAAAGGCTGCATGGGGTCCGCTCAGTTTATGAATGTTGTGAACTGTGTCGAGTTTTTGTGGGGCCTCTTTTTGTTTTTAGTGAGCTATTCGGTAAGAAAATAACCTACTTTTACGCAACGAGGAGACTTTGTAAAAAGCATTAAAAGGGAGCACTTACTTAATGTATTGGAAAAATCGAGCTTTCCACATCGTACTACTTATTGAGTTTACCACTCGAATTCCTGTTAGCATCAGAATTATCAAGCATCAGTACAGTATTATAAAATCTGACTTTTGTTTTGGTAATTTTATTTATGGTAATTTTTCTGAGGTCTTCACTGGAGGGGAGATTTCTCGAGTCATTCTATCAAAATATGAATGATAAACTAAGGCTTAAAACTCTTTTTACCATTCATGCTTTCTTTGTTGCGAATGTTTCAATTTTTCTCCTTATTTTTCAGCGAATCGATGACTGGGACTTCGATGTCTTTGGCCTGAACGTGGCATCCGATGGAAGCCCATTGAAGTACTTGGGATATGAGCTTTTCACGCGTTACGGAATTCTCAACAAGTACAAGGTGAAATCCTGAAAACCTATTAAATTAGCATACCTCTGTAGCGTTCTTGCATCAGTCAAATTCAACAGCATCCAATGAATTCGCAATGCTTCGAGCGCATCCTCGGGGAATTTTAAAAATTAACCATCATATCGCCTCTGTGCGAACCTGTGTCATTCCACAGGTTCGCACCTGTGGAATGGCAGCAATAGGGGAATTCACTCGTGGAAAATGCATGGGCACTTCGAATACCATTGATTATTTAAACCAGAGTCTACAGAACTTTGAATTACATCGTTTTCCAGATATCAAGTGGAACACTAATAGCCTTCTTGAACGGAATGGAGGCCGGATACGCCAAGTACAATAACCCGTATCACAACAGCAGCCATGCCGCTGATGTGACACAAACAGTTCATTATCTTCTGTTCCAGTGTGGATTAATGGTGAGTGTTTTGCTCAGGGGCTCACAAAGTTCCAAAATCACGCGTCAAACTTCTTCAGGACAAACAGCGTATCGTACGATGGTCTAATCCGAGATAAAGTTGATGCTTCGATACCGTACTTCGAACAAGCATTGAAGTAACTGGGATTATCGTGTTTATGTAATTTTAGGTGGCACCTCGATTTTGTGCTGATTTTGAAAACATTCGTGCTAACTGTATGCAAATGAAAAAAATGAGTATACAGTACTGTATTTAATCATGAAGAGTTGAGTGAATGTAAATGTTTTAAGGATTTGTAAACGGACTTTGTAAAAGAAACGGAGTTACCTGAAAAAACATCAGAAAATACCCACGAAAATTTCTCTTTTGCGCTTTTCGTTTGGCATGAGTTTTCATCCCAGCTGACGCATTATTTATCCTCAATTACTCCCGGAGTAAGTAGAGGACCCGGATTTATCAGCGCTTTTTTTTTTTTGGCCTGTGTTCAATTAAACGCGGTTTACGTATTTTCAGAACTGGCTGTCGGATTTGGAGATTTTCGGAACACTTCTGGCGGCGATGATCCACGATTTCGAGCACACTGGTACTACAAATAATTTTCACGTGATGTCGAACTCGGGGGTGGCATTACTGTACAACGATCGGGCAGTTTTAGAAAATCATCACATCAGCGCAGCATTCAGGTAAGTACAGTATACTGTCTTGTACAGTGGTTTTTCGAATCTCGTCGGCACATCCTCGAAGACTGAACACGCAGAACCAATCCTTTCTGACCCGCCTGTTCAGTATCATCGGATTAGTTTTACCCTACTGCGATGAGTGCAATTGGAAGATTCGGATTTGAGCGATGAAAGATCTTCACTCTGCTCTTCTGTCAATTGCATCTAAGGGGTGAAGGGATTTTTTGCACCGTCCAAAATTCAGGAAGTCCTGAGCAATTCACTTGAGAAATATTGCAACGAAATGCTATAAAAATAATTGAGAAACGGCTTTCTTTCTGGAAAAATAATCATGAAATCGAAAATTATGCAAAAAATCATTAAATCGAATGCGAACACCAGAAGTATTGAAGTTGACTGAATGGGGAATCGTGTATAGGGAGATGTTAAATGGATAATGAGAAATTGATAGGCAATGCTTTTCTGAGTTTTAGATATCAAACCCCCCAAAATTGACGTTCAAGTAAAACGTGTTTTTTTTAATTCTCAGTTCCTTTATATAGAAGCGTCGCTTTTATTCGTCGATGTTCTCTTTTGAGATTTCACCATTCCGTATGCGTTCACTCCGCCTTGCAGGATAAAACGCATTACGGAACTCATTCCTTGCATAAGTTCCAAGAAATTCTCTGCTTCGTTGTGGGCATCATTCATGCAGCACCGCCTGTGTTGAAATCATCAACATATTACAAGCTCTTATTCTTCTGTTCAATTCCAGGCTCTGTCATGATGGCGAAAACAGCAACATATTCAAGAACATGACCAGAGAGGAGTACCGAGAACTCAGAGCGCTTGTCATCGAAATGGTTCTTGCTACAGACATGTCCTTCCACTTTCAGCAAGTCAAACAAATGCGCTCCACCATTTCTCTTCCTGATTCCAGGTAATCGATTGCTGAACACGGTGTACACTTCGCAGCACGTTGAAAATTAAATAGACGAATAATATTTGATAATCGCAATTTTTACAAAGAAATTAACTGAGTGCCATCCACTGGTATATATTACCGCACTCATCACACCCAATTCCGACTCCTAGGGTTGAAAAGGCGAAGGTTCTGTCGCTGGCCCTGCACAGCTGTGACATCTCACATCCTAGCAAGCCCTGGAACCTGCACCACATCTGGACATTGCGCCTGATGGAAGAATTTTTCAGACAAGGTGACCTCGAAAATGACCTGGGTCTTCCTTATTCGCCGCTTTGCGACCGGAACACAACGCATGTCGCAGATGCCCAGCTTAGTGAGTGATTTCATGAGATGGGCTGATCGAAAAAAATTCAGAGCTTCTGATCTAGCCATGAAATTTTCTTTCAATAAAACATTAAGTGAACCATGAAAAAGGGCCGACTGCTCAGTATAATTGAGAGCTTAAATGAGCAATGCGAATGGAAAACAAGGGACCCTGTATATGATAGTTACAGTATTTCTCATGAAGAGATTATTTATACGATGCCCGAAAGATGTCAAATTACAGACGGTTCCGCAGTGGGGCCCTGAGATGCGGACATAATTACTCCTGACCGTTTCCATGTGCCAGAACGTTCGTATATCGGATCATATTTTCCCATTCGCTTCAATAACAACATTCTAGATCATTTCTCCGGTTGAAAAAAAATGGAAAGAGTTCTTGAATAAAATTAATCATACATGAATTTAATAAATTTAACAATATATATTATGAACTATAAGGTTCAGGAATTATCTGTGCAAAAGAAAACCACGCAGATATTGCCCTCTGAATGAATAAGAGTTTATAATGATACCGTATCTATTCTGAATTTTTTCCGGAGTAATAGCTCAATTCGTTCAAGATACTGTACTGTATATAAAAATTTTATCGCGTTCGTATCTTCAGGCATTTTACAGATTTCGAGGCAAATTTTTATTCTATTTAGAAGTGTACGTAAGTCGAATTATCCGTATGACCGTATGTCGTCGCGCACCCACTGTATTTCTTTAATAACTTCAATAACATGGGTCCACTTTCATAAGCATGACCGGCATAAAGGATAGAAAACAATTCAAAGAAGCACTTTTGCCGCGTGTTTTCTCAAAAACGTTCATGAGGTCAATATAAGAGTCGCCAATTTCCGCAGGCACGCAGGAAACCTAATTTCCCTTGGGTGTAGTTGTATTTCAAGGATGTATGCGAATTTTTCAAAAATTTCCATGAATTATATCTCAGGATGGTGAAGGTGAGGAGAATAATTTAAACGATGGCAGAATAATACGGTACTGTAGTGTCCTTTTCCCAATGATAAAAAAACCTACTAACTATTCCATAGAAAACCCCGATAACTCTTTTTTGGAATTTTGCGCGTTCGTAAAATGATCATTTCTAGGTGCAGTGTGGTGAGTATGATTTTCTTCAAGAGACCGTTACTGTCGGTCATATCACAGCAATTAGAAAGAAGAAAATATTATCATGGAAATGAAAGTAGGTCTAAGTTGATTTTTAAATTTGATAATTCTACCCTCTTTAGATGTACCGTAAATGAATATGAAAAAAAGGAAAGACCGGTTGGGTTCGAAAATGTTCCCGCTTTTTCCGCAGGTTTTATTGACTTCATTGTTGAGCCTACCATGAACCTCCTTGGCGACGTTCTCACCAAGATCCTGACCCCGTCTAATCCAGACGGAGCCACAGAATCAGCTGCTTTGTCATCACCATCCTCAACATCACTCACCTCTGGAGCTTCACACCAAGTGATTCCAGAAGCCATTGAGGTCACGAGCGTGCCTGGTAATTCGACTGCACTTTTTGCATGCCCAGATTTTCCGTAACCTTTGAATTATTTTTCAATGCGTAATCACGAATTCACCGTACTTCAGATGCTGGAAATTTGGATCGTTTGAAGCCTTGGAAAAGACCCTTAGTCGACAACCGCATCGAATGGAAGAACGAGGGAATCAAAGGCACGTTTGCCTTGTCCCCATTTTCGTCGTAGTTTGTTGGTTTCCAGATGGAAAGCTGCCGTGACCAATGATGACTAAGGGACCTGGACTGGTTTTTGAAACGCGTGAAATTTTGATGGAATCGACGATTGATCACCAGCAGCAGTGTTACCCTTTCTTTCTTGAAATTCTTACATTTTCGTTAGCAGTCATAAAAACCTGAGACGGCTTCTTGCACTTTATTTTTTTTAGTGAAAATGACCGTAATTCAGATCCAATTCGCTGAGAGCTGATGCGGTCAAATGTACTGTATTACGACAGTACGTCGTAAATTAGGGTGCCCTGGCACCTTCAAGATCCATAAAGATATTAGGCAGAGGAGCGCGAATATACGTCAAATAAAAAAGAACCGTATGCTGCAAAATTAGTTTAAAAAAATGAAGTATCCACACCTGAATATCGTAAACGTCAGCTTCCTTGGGAAATCTGGAAAAGCCTTTTCCGAGGAAGAACACGCGTAACTAGGAGGAAAAGTTAATTTTAAATGAATTATTCGATCAAGAATTAATTTTTCATTGAAATTATTTTCGCCGCGTTGGAATGGATACACTCCTCGATATTCATAAAATAGTATTCAACGTTTGCAGAAACTGAAAAGGAAATAAAAGAAGTTGCAAGAACATGTGTAACTAAAAGACAAACGTAATTTTAAATTAATTATACGATCAAGAATTAATTTTTCGTTGGAATTATTTTCGCCGCGTTGGAATATATATTAAATGTATACACGCCTCGATATTTATAAAATATTATTCAACGTTTGCAGAAACCGAAAGGAAACAAAAGGAGTCGCAAGTCAAAGAAGCAACGTCGGAGGATACGCCAGGAAAGTGAGGCAGGTGTACTACCGCAATTTGATGGAAAATGAGCCCGCTCTGTGCAAAAGCTTCGGCAGAGCCGCAGGATTCTCACAAATGTGTCAATTGCTTACCTCTCCATGATCCGAGGTCTGAAACTGATCCACTGATCGTATAAAAACACGCTACTCCAGTTCTGATGCTGCTTGAAGCCTAACCTTCTGCAAGTCATTCCCTGGGCGCTCGTCCCGAATGGAAACTCCGTATGCTTGGTTCGTTGTTGTGGGGAAGATGCACGGATTTGTACAGACGTTTATGAAGTTGCACTAATCTCAACTAGTTTAGGAATGGTGATACAGGACCTGGGCCTTACGTTGACGACACAGTAAAACTCAGTCGCCGTAGAACTTCCTTTCTTCATATTAACACCGCTGCCTATTAAAGTTTCTTGAAATTATTTATCTCGCGACTCCGAATTTTTCTCAACAGGATGCAAATGCGAACATATGCTTCGAGAGATTACTGCAAATCTTGATGCAGTGTCTTTTTCTCTCCGACGTTTACTCAAGCGTCCTCCTGAGACACTATATAAATACAGGTACATTAAATTATATCCGAGCTAGACGATTCCAAGGGTGTAACGCCATGCTTACAATTTTTTTTCACATAATATTCGATTTCGATCTTTTTCCGAAAGAACATTTGAAGGATGAAGAACTGTTATATTTACAAAAAATGTCTTGCTTTTTGTCGTCTCGGAAGATCAAACTCTTTTACTAATGAGAAAGATGGACATCATTATGCAATTTTAATGTCAAGTACATGATGAGCTAACCATGGTAAAAAAAAAAATTTCACACTGATGCGTTGGAATAGATCGGATCCAATTTTCTACTCAAGTATACAACGATTACATCAGGGAGAGATATGACACATGTCGTTATTATCTTCTGATATGTTCGCATTTTTCTGAAGGATCGAAATGTACCAAGATCAACATTCAATATATGAGAGGTTTACAGTGAATTCGGAATTCATTTGGAATCACTGGTACACAGTTACGTTTTATATGCTGTTACTGCAGAATTTTATTCGTGCGATGAGTGAGTAACATTTCACTCAAGGATGAGCTAGCGAGAACAGTTTCAGAGCAATTTTCTCGTAAGGTGGGGTGAAACGCAAATTACGAACATTATCCTTGATTAATTCAACCGTACATTCGAGTTTCAAACTTTGAAGCAGAACCTTATTCCTGTAACGTGCTATATTGATGAGAAATAATTTTTCGTCGTTTCTGAATTTTTGGCGCGCGGAAGTGAGTAAAACAGAGCTTACAAAATTATTTCCATATTGTTGTAACAGATCGTAGGATAGGACCCACTTCGTGCAGCATGTTCTGTTATCTTCAAGCATCATGCGTTTTTATGTCAAGTTTCAGATCTGCTTCTTGTGCCAAGATGAAACAGATCTGTTTTTTGGGTTACAGAATATTAGACTTTGAATTTAGTAATTCGATCTTATGCTTCTTTTTAACTTTCCATCACTTTCCAATACTTTTGCTAAAACTATAGCGCCTCTAGTTCGACGATGTCGCTATTATTGCATCGGTTGGGCAAACAAAGGGTTGTGTACTTCATCCGGAATACTAATAATGAATATTAGCGATCAAAACTTCTATTTTGGCCAAAGAACAAAACAGTATACTGTATATTCGTATTTTACGTTGTGACAAAAAACATAGGGACAAACATTCCTCGCACAGGGACCGAATTTTTTTTTTTATTTGCAAGAGCTTTTTGCAGAACTGAGCGTATCATGACATATTCTGAGGATGCCCAGGCATTATATCAAGCAACAGTCACACTTTATTCAAGAAAATGTGGCACTTGGATGAGAGCTGAATAAACAACTAGCTGAGTTAGAGAGTACTGTATTCGAGTTTTCACTCATACTCGTGTAACGAAGGTTTTCCCGCCGACGAGCAGCGCACCGTTTGTTATGGTGGAACGCACTCTTCGGGAAATCATGAATCTTCTGCATGATTTCTTCGAATTTCAGGTGCTATTTCTCTAGACACATGGGAAACGGCGAAAAAACCCACGAATTCGCGTAACAACGTAGGTACAGTACAGTATTTGTCGAAGGATTATTTTGAAAGAAGGAACGAATGTTACAAGAAATTCTACCCTTCCTGATTCTTCGCTAAAATATGTTTCACGACAGTCACTCTCTCCCTCTCTATTCAGAGGTTTGCAGGTGAGAAAATTGTTTTCCTCATATCCTCATCAATTTGCGTGCTCTAGGCTAGGCCGACGACGGACATGTTCAAATTACGACAATTTTCTGTATACCTACGCTCGAAAAGGGATACAGTAACAACTTGAGGGTTTCGACCGACTCAAGATTCTAGACTCAAGACAACGCTTAGCTCATGATGTACCTCTCATCTTCCCTGCGTTCCACGTTCTACCGGAAACTCCGGCGCTTGTGGTACGAATCGTTCCGTCCTCTGAGGCAGCCATGCTCCACGTGTTGCATCTCGAAGTTCCTGCAGTGCTTGCAAAAGCGACATCTACATTGCAATATTAAAACTCTATTGTAGCACTTGACGAAAATGCACTAGCTGTCACTNACGCCTCGATATTTATAAAATATTATTCAACGTTTGCAGAAACCGAAAGGAAACAAAAGGAGTCGCAAGTCAAAGAAGCAACGTCGGAGGATACGCCAGGAAAGTGAGGCAGGTGTACTACCGCAATTTGATGGAAAATGAGCCCGCTCTGTGCAAAAGCTTCGGCAGAGCCGCAGGATTCTCACAAATGTGTCAATTGCTTACCTCTCCATGATCCGAGGTCTGAAACTGATCCACTGATCGTATAAAAACACGCTACTCCAGTTCTGATGCTGCTTGAAGCCTAACCTTCTGCAAGTCATTCCCTGGGCGCTCGTCCCGAATGGAAACTCCGTATGCTTGGTTCGTTGTTGTGGGGAAGATGCACGGATTTGTACAGACGTTTAACTTCAACGTGATTAGAGTTGATCAAATCCTTACCACTATGTCCTGGACCCGGAATGCAACTGCTGTGTCATTTTGAGTCAGCGGCATCTTGAAGGAAAGAAGTATAATTGTGGCGACGGATAATTTTTTTCTTGTAATTATTTATCTCGCGACTCCGAATTTTTCTCAACAGGATGCAAATGCGAACATATGCTTCGAGAGATTACTGCAAATTTTGATGCAGTGTCTTTTTCTCTCCGACGTTTACTCAAGCGTCCACCTTCTGAGACACTATATAAATACAGGTACATTAAATTATATCCGAGCTAGACGATTCCAAAGGTGTAACGCCATGCTTACAATTTTTTTCACATAATATTCGATTTCGATCTTTTTCCGAAAGAACATTTGAAGGATGAAGAACTGTTATATTTACAAAAAATGTCTTGCTTTTTGTCGTCTCGGAAGATCAAACTCTTCTACTAATGAGAAAGATGGACATCATTATGCAATTTTAATGTAAAGTACATGATGAGCTAACCATGGTGAAAAAAAAAAATTTCACACTGATGCGTTTGAATAGATCGGATCCAATTTTCTACTGAAGTATACAACGATTACATCAGGGAGAGATATGACGCATGTCGTTATTATCTGGTGATATGTTCGCATTTTTCTGAAGGATCTAAATGTACCAAGATCAAAATTTAATATGAGAGGTTTACAGTGAATTCGGAATTTATTTGGAATCACTGGTACACAGTTACGTTTTATATGCTGTTACTGCAGAATTTTTTTCAAGCGATGAGTGAGTAACATTTCACTCAAGGATGAGCTAGCGAGAACAGTTTCAGAGCAATTTTCTCGTAAGACGGGGTGAAACGCAAATTACGAACATTATCCTTGATTAATTCAACCGTACATTCGAGTTTCAAACTTTGAAGCAGAACCCTGTAACATGCTAAATTGTTGAGAAATAATTGTTCGTCGTTTCTGAATTTTTGGCGCGCGGAGGTGAGTAAAACAGAGCTTACAAAATTATTTCCATATTGTTGTAACAGATCGTAGGATAGGACCCACTTCGTGCAGCATGTTCTGTTATCTTCAAGCATCATGCGTTTTTATGTCAAGTTTCAGATCGGCTTCTTGTGTCAAGATGAAACAGATCTGTTTTTTGCGTTACAGAATATTCGACTTTGAATTTAGTAATTCGATCTCATACTTCTTTTTAACTTTCCATCACTTTCCAATACTTTTGCTAAAACTATAGCGCCTCTAGTTCGACGATGTCGCTATTATTGCATCGGTTGGGCAAGCAAAGGGTTATGTACTTTATCCGGAATGCTGATAATGAATATAAGCGATCAAAACTTCTATTTTGGCCAAAGAACAATACAGTGTTCTGTATATTCGTATTTTACGTTGTGACAAAAAACATAGGGACAAACATTCCTCGCACAGGGACCGATTTTTTTTTTCGCACAGGGCTTTTTGCAGAACTGAGCGTATCATGACATATTCTGACGATGCCCAGGCATTATATCAAGCAACAGTCACACTTCATTCAAGAAAATGTGGCACTTGGATGAGAGCTGAATGAAAAACTAGCTGAGTTAGAGAGTACTGTATTCGAGTTTTCACTCATACTCGTGTAACTAAGGTTTTCCCGCCGACGAGCAGCGCGCCGTTTGTTATGGTGGAACGCACTCTTCGGGAAATCATGAATCTTCTGCATGATTTCTTCGAATTTCAGGTGCTATTTCTCTAGACACATGGGAAACGGCGAAAAAACCCACGAATTCGCGTAACAACGTAGGTACAGTACAGTATTTGTCGAAGGATTATTTTGAAAGAAGGAACGAATGTTACAAGAAATTCTACCCTTCCTGATTCTTCGCTAAAATATGTTTCACGACAGTCACTCTCTCCCTCTCTATTCAGAGGTTTGCAGGTGAGAAAATTGTTTTCCTCATATCCTCATCAATTTGCGTGCTCTAGGCTAGGCCGACGACGGACATGTTCAAATTACGACAATTTTCTGTATACCTACGCTCGAAAAGGGATACAGTAACAACTTGAGGGTTTCGACCGACTCAAGATTCTAGACTCAAGACAACGCTTAGCTCATGATGTACCTCTCATCTTCCCTGCGTTCCACGTTCTACCGGAAACTCCGGCGCTTGTGGTACGAATCGTTCCGTCCTCTGAGGCAGCCATGCTCCACGTGTTGCATCTCGAAGTTCCTGCAGTGCTTGCAAAAGCGACATCTACATTGCAATATTAAAACTCTATTGTAGCACTTGACGAAAATGCACTAGCTGTCACTAAAAATTCATATCGCACAGGTGTTTGATTCGGCTTTCAATAAATTGGCGAAAACCTGTATCAATAATGTTCGATTCCATTTTAATGTTAGTCAGGACTGGATAATTGACTGTGTGTTCAAATTCAAATGGTTCCGTGTGGCCCAAACATTAGGATTATTTACACTGAATATGCTACATATGTTTTCATACTTCATCGATTTGTTGAGCATGTATGACTTTCTCAGTAAAAGTTTTACCATTTATCTAAAACAAAAACAGGGACTTCGCTCTTTATTCACTCTGAATCATATTCAGAGTGTAAATCACTCTGAATACAAAAAGTGTCCCAGCAGTTTTTAAATGCATTTTCAAAAACCCCATTTTTGTTTTCTGGATTCCATCCGAAGTTCAAATCCAATTTTGAACTAGTGCACACAACACTGTGAAGAATGAGTTCATTATAAAAGGCATGTTTTTCTGCAAGAGCTTGAAGTATTTCCTTGACAGCTCACCGTCTTCTACGCTGGGAAAGCTTGGTTTACAGGTTAAAATATGCTCAAATGTTTCAAAAGATGTTTTTATTGTAGCTAAGTAAACTGTATGAAATACCCTCCAAAATAAACTTAACTTGAATCAAGATCTTATAGTTATTACTTTATGAACGACAAGAGTCAGCAGAAGTCAAAATTCAAGTGAAGGTAGTTGGGAAGTTTTCAAGTTTTTGGCAATTGGTAATTGAGGCATACGATATTGTTTTATGAATGCATGATGCATCTAACATCTGCTGGAAGGAACGGCGTCCTCATCTAGATTTTCATGCAAATTCAAGGTTCCTCGTAAATTTATTCATACTGTAGTTTTAAAATGAATACAAATGTAAACTTGTAAAAAAAAATTATCAAATTTTTGTTGGCAACAGGATGATCTTGGCGGACACGTACGAAAGTTACCCACCTTGATGTTGGACATCCCTGATTCTCGTGATATATTCAAAAATTGATTCGTGAAGATGTTGACGGACGAAACTGTTTTCGTTTCCCGTGTTGATGACGTGGAAATGCAAAAACGTTATCAGAAAGCAGACGAACAATAGAGGTTCCACGAACGCGTTCTCACAATAAGTTTCAGCCCGAGGCACAATTACTGTCTAGCGGACACGTTGAAATCTGAATCTCGGTTGAATTGGTGTAATCGCTGGATTGCGACTTCGTCGGGATCATCGGCGCCCGTCCTTCTTGCCTGTCGAGTATAGGGGACAAAACCAAAAAAAATAATCGCGTGTACGATTGAAAACCTATAATTCGGTGGGCGCCCGCGATTATTGAGAATTACACGGACCACGGCTCAGCGAGGATGCTCGAGAATGAAAAGCAAGGAATAATTTTTGATTTAGGAGAGGGCTGGGAGCATCTAGGCACGATTACCTGATGTCTTCCCCGGGGAGGGAAGTCAGGTCTTCCCTTGCTGCGTTGTTTCCTTGATGACGCCGGCCCGGCAAAGGGAAATTTTCGCGTGATTTCCACATTCGAAATTACTCCGCGATCGGCCGATCTTCAGCCGCTTCACCGCGAAGTCCATGACTCCCGGCAGAGTTTAATTTCTATCCCAGCTTTCGTCTAGGGGAGGCAACGAGACTCCTTCGTCTCATCGACGAATTTTACTAAGCTTAAATTATGCCTTCCCTGATTCCGCTTCGGCTCTTTTCACTTACCCGCATTCGAATCTATGTGTGATTTTCAGGGTACCCGCATGTCTAAAAAAATCCACACGACTGAGGAAACCGGAAAAAAATCTGGCAATCGAAATGATCGAAAGTCATTAAGGCTTCCCGAGATGGCTCCTTGCGAAAATCCCATCGGTTAAAAATTATGGAATGAAAATAATTGACGTAAATTATGCATGGCGACACATGAAATGCTTACAAATTAAATAAGTTTTCTGTTTTCGCTTTTTCCCCTGCATCTTCTTATCGTGATCTCTGAATTAACGAGAAAATGCGAACTGAAAGAAATATACCTATCGCCATTTTCACGCGTGTTTCTGCATGTGGAACTCAATGTTAAAAAATCAGATATTAGTAAAATAATTCAGTCTTCGCAGGATTGTTGCAGAATACTTGTCGGATTGAAATGGGCCTAGTACAGTATTTTTGTTCCTGTGGGCTTTTCGTCCTCACCCCCTCAGGATATAGCTTGGAACGCTTTTGCCTGTATAATTTTGGAAAAGTAGCTACTTCTGCGACTACGTAGACCTTCTAAGTTCGCTTACAAGTCAATATTCCGAAGTCAATCGAAACAACGGCTTCTGTGTTGGAAAAAATGGAAAATTGACTGCACTGTAGATAGGGATGATTGCAGCAGTCGGATTCGATCATAATGACATGGTTTTTGAGATGCCCAGCTTGGCAGGAAGATCCTGTTTCATTTCAAATCGTAACATTTTTCCAAATTACTATGATGATGATAATGGCCGCGGGGATGGGCGCCCCGCACGCCCATTACACACACGTTTGTAAGCAGTGCAGGCCTGCCCTGCGCGATAT